CCTTGCGCGCTTCCTTGAGCCGCCGCTGCAGCTCGGCCTGCTGCTCCTGCATCTTGCTCTTCCATTCCTGCACCTGCTCCAGCTGGATCTTGTGCTTCTCCAGCTCCTTGAGCTTGGCCTTGTCTTCCCCCCGCTTAAGGCGCAGGGTCTCCAGCTTCTCCTCCAGGTCCCGCACCTGGGCCCGCAGTCCCTCCTCCTCCTGCAAGGCAGTGGCCCTGTGTGTCCACCCAGCTAAGCTGCAGCAGGTGCTGCAGGTCGGCGGGCACAACCACCGGCCCCAGGAGCAACACGGGGGCACAGGTGCCAGGGGGACATAGGCATCAGGGGGGCACAGCCACCCGGCCCCAGGAGCAACATGGGGGTAAGGGTGCCAGGGGGGACACAGACACCACAGGGGCACAGCCACCCGGCCCCAGGAGCAACACGTGAACCAGGGGGACACAGGCGCCATGGATACCTGAGCAGGAACCACAACCAGATGTACAGCAAAGTGGGGTAGGGCAGCCCAGTGGGCAGGAGGACAGCACAGCTGTGCCCCCACCCCCATGTCCAAGTCCTGGGATCCCCAAGACCGGAACCCTCCCAGACCCAGCTCAGGGTCCCGGCCCGCTGTCTCGGTCGCCCTTACCTTGGAAGGGGAAGGTAGCGGGGGTGCTGCTCCAGGAGAGGTCAGGGCTGGCGTGGGGATGAGGGGTGCCGCCAGCGGTGTCTGCGCTGGGGTGCTGGGCTCACTGCTGCTCAGCTCACCTCCAGATGCTGAGCCAGAGGGGCCCAGGGAGCTGCTGGCCCCTGCCACCCCGGTGCTGCTGGCCGGGCGGGTGGGCTGTGCAGAGACGGCAGGGCAGAGTGAAGAAGAAGAGGGGGAAGAAAACAGGGTGGGGAAGAGCACAGAGAGGGGAAGGCGGAGAAAGAAGGGGAGAGAACGTCCCAGGTCAGGGAGAGAAGGAGCGAGGGTGTGAGACACAGAGGATCAGAGAGGAGCAAGGAGAGCGAAAAAACGGGTCAGAGGAGGGGGAGGAAGTCACGGGCGATCAGGGAGCCATGGAGTGGAAGGAGAGGGGACGACGTCAGGGTCGGAGACAGTGATGGGAAGAAGGAAGAAGACACAGCAGTCAGGCCCTCCTCCCAGCTCTGCTGCGCCCCCACCCCCCCGCCTCTGCCACGTGCCCTCCCGGCCTTGGCACCACCTGCTCAGAGGGGAACCAACATCTACTCCCTACAACGCCCCATGCTTCTAATCACTCCTCTTCTAATCACTCCTCATCGCAGGCACACCTCCCAGTCGGCCTGCGCCCTCCTCCCCCAGAGCGGGCAAGTGTCACTTCCCCACAGGACAGAACAGAGCACCTTTGTTCACTCTCACGCCCCCCTGGGGAAGATTGTGGGGTGTGGCTCCGTCCTGCTCATGCAGCCCATTCCAGAGACCCCAGAGATGAAGGTGACAGGGGAGGGGGGCATTGGATCCCTCCTCCTCCAGCCTCCCCCCTCCACTACTACCAAACAGATGGCCGTAAGAAGCCTACTGGGGAGGTCAGGACAGCCACCATGCTGTCATCTCTCCTGAGGACAAAGGCGATCTCCCTGGGCAAAGCGCGGGGGGGGGGGGTAGGGGGCCAGACTGCAACAGCCTGTGGTGCCCTCAGACAGTGCTGAGGCCCAAGGCTCTCAGGCTGACACCAGACACTGTGTGCTGTCCACATGGCCACCCACATCTGCCACACATGCCCTGCTGCTCACCCCGACAGCTTACATTGCCGGTGTCTCCTCCCTTCTCTACCTATCCATCCCCAAACCCAGTCCACCCTCCCACAGTCAGGAAACCCTGCCTTGGTTCATCACGCCCTGCTCATCACTCTCGTACTCAAGCTGCTGGCTCAGAAAACCTCTCAAAAGCCTGGAGTTGCATTCCCAGGGAGGCCTGCAACCAGATCCAGCACCCCACGAACCCCCAAAGTTGGACAGATGAATGCCAAGACCCCAGAATCTGTGGTAACTCGTGTACATTCTCCCAGGAGGGCTTGCAACCAGATCCAGCATCCCTTGACCCTCCACAGACGGATGCCGAGACCCCAGGATGCGTGATGACTAGTGTGTGTGCTCCCGGGAGGGCCTGTGAACCCGTCCAGCATCCCAGCTCCCCCGACACCACAGGCCGAGGACATGGGGTGACCGGGTGCACAGCCAGCACACAGCCCGTGCACACACGCATGCCCATGCTCATGGGGCATGCACAGAGGCCAGCTCTTTCTCACCTTGGGCCGCCGAGTGGTGGTCTGCACAGGCAACAGGAGCCAAAGGAGGACAGGCAGCAGGAGAAGAAGGGGGAACAGCAGAAAGACGGACAGCAAAGGGACAGCAATGAGAGCAGAAGTAACGGCAGAGACGCGGCTGCAGCCAACTATCCTTCTCCCCCGTGCCACCACCCACTCTGCCCATGGGCCACCTCACCCGACTCCAGGAACCACAACTCCAGTCCTCACTGGCTCTCATCTGCTCATGCTCACCCTTCCAGCCCCACCCCATCAGCCGCCCTGGGACTCCCAGGAGCCCTGCTCCTTAGCAGAGCCAGATGAGACCAGGGACAGCCCCTGGGACAGGAGGCTGCCCGGAGAACAATCTCTCACTCGAGCCTGGAGCCGGAGGCCCGCCCTCATCACTCCCAGCGACTTCCCTGGCTCACCACCTTCCCTTTAAGCGCTAGACTTGGAGGAATCCTGGAAAGCCCACCCTCAAAGTGCCAGGAGCCCAGAGGAAGGAGTAGGCCTGGCCTGCCTCGGCCTCTGCAGTGCCGTCCCTGGGGCAGAGGGCTCAGGTGTCAGGCCTGAGTACTGCATCAGCAGAAGCTTTGCTCAGCAGAGCAACCCCACCCAGGCTCCCAAATGGTGTCCTCCCTGCCCACTGACCCTTGGCTCAGCACAGACCCTGTCCAGGAGGCCTGGAACCCAGGAGCCCCAGGCCAGGCTTCCTGGGCACTGGGCTAGGTCTGGGAGTACAGGAGCCCTCCACTGTGACAGAGCCTCCCTGAAACCATGATGCAGGGGAGCAGGGAAGTGCTGGGGGAACAGCCCCAAGTGTACCCCTCGACCTGCTGGCCTGGGCCCCACCACAGGGCCCTTTCCCTCCGACATACTGGAGCAGAGCTGTCTAAAGATGGTGCCGTGAAGTCACTGGACTCGGGGCCCAGACGCAGGCTCGGCCAGCCAGGGCCATCAGGGCAGGCAGGCGGCAGGAAGGCTCTGCCTGGTGCACGCACAGGGCCACACCGCTCCTTGTCCCCTCTCCTCCAGCCCTGCCCCCTCCAGGTAGAAAGCCTAGGAGACCCAGCCCCCACCCCCACCCAGCCTGCTGCCACCATCGCCCTGGCAACCCGGCAGCGGGACCAAGCAAGCAAGAGTACCTTTCGGGCTGTCGGCGCCTGTCTCATCATTGCAGAAAACCACAGAAAGCAGGGAGCAGAGAAAGAGAGAGGGACAGAGGAGGATGGACGAACACAGGAGGAAGGACAGATGAGGGAGGGAGAGGCGGCGGGGACAGGCGGTTAGTGCATCAGACCCCGACAGCGCGGCCTCGGCTGCCCGGCCCGGCCTGCAGACAGCCCGACGCGCAGGGCCCGCGGACGCAGAGCGGGGCGGCCAGGCGCCGGCTGGCACCGAGGACGCAGCTGAGGCCGATGGCAGCCCCGGGGCCGCAGCACCAGCTCCACCTGACGTCATGCACCCACCCTGCTCCGCTCCAGGGGCGGAGCCTCCGCTCCGTCACCTAGCAACGGCCCGGGCACAGCTGACCACGCCCCCTCCTCAGGATTGGACAGGGGGCCGCACAGGCCCGCCCCTCCATCGCCAGCATCAGTGACGCAGGTGCTCTTGGCTCCTCCCCCTCCATGGGGTTGGAGATGATCGCGTAGAGCCCGCCCCCATCACCTCGGCCAAGCGCTGCTGGCTCCTCCCCCTCTGCGGGATTGGACAGGATGCCACACAGGGCCCGCCCCTCCTCCTCCCTCACCAAAGGACCACTACCACTGACCCAGCGCCACAGCCACGGGCCACCACGGCCACCACCGCGAGCTTTTCTGAGATGCAGGGCCAACCCGGAAACGGCACTTGATGGCCAAGCATCACTGGACAGGCCTCAGGACCTCCCTCCACCACACCACCATCTCCACGTCTGTCCCTAACCCCCTTGGTCTCTGCCGACACCCTCCTTCGACCCCTGCGAGTGAAGAAACCCGTGGGATCTCATCTGGACAACAAGCTAATGACCCTGTCTGCACGCTCCAAACCTTCCTGATCTCAGACAGGTTAAAGTTTGTCCTTAAGGGGCTTGCAGTAAAACCAGGCCCTCGGCAGACAGCTGGCCAACCCTAGGGTGTTCCCCCTCAAAAGCCGTAATCAGTTCCCCACGGGGGTTCCATGACAGTGCTGTGAGGGCCGGGGCTGGGGGGCCCACACTGCCCACCCTGCGTAAGGCGGTGCTGGGCAGCATGGCCTGGCGTGCACAGGCAGCTTCAGTGCCCTGGTTTGGGGAGGTGGCTGGAGCTCACAACCGTCTCCCTTCCCCCTTAGAGCACCACTTGCCTTCTTCCATCCTCAACACCACCCACCCCACAGCGAGCACCCACACACAGCATCTTTCATGACAAGACCCCAAAAGGAGGTCCAGGGGTGCTGTCCTCTTGCCTCCCACAGCCTCAATCCCGAAGCTCCCCATGCAAAGTCAGAAGGAGCGAAGGCTGGACAATAACACACAAACCACAAACACAGCACAGGTCACCAGGTCCATGCAGGTCGGGGTCTGGGGTGGGGAAACGGTCGTGACCGTGACTGCAGGGTTTACAAGTGTGGCAGATAGGCCATGACAGCTGAGGTCCACCCCAATAATGGCAAAGGGGGAGCAGAGCCTCAGGCTACCAGAGGAAGGGGTGGGGCTGCATCCTCTGGGGCAGGCGGAAGTAGGTGGTCCAGGGAGCACCCACTCAAACTCGGGTTTCCAGGCCCTTCCTGATTTCCTCTGCTGCTCCCTGACCTGCCTCCCTGCCCATTCCTCCCGATGTCCCCGGTGCACCCCGCCACTGTCCTCAGGCTCGGGCTCAGGAGAAGCACTAGCCCTCTAGATGCCCCACTTCACAGGGCAATGAACAATGCTGTTTGTGGACACACATCCGAGGCTTCTGAGAAGGTGGGTGCTCCTGTTCAGCTGGGCTCCTGCCTAACTGCCTGGACTGGGACAGCGAGCCAAAGGCCCATCCTCCCCACAGAGGGACTCTGAAAGCCAAAACCACCACGTCCTCTGCTCACCCCAGCCCCAAGGTCACACGCACATGCATGCAGCACCCCAGGACATGCAGGACAGCTGGGGGCGGGGGAGGCTCATGGTCCCCACCCACCAGACACAACAGGTAGACACACCACCTTCTTAGCCTTCATCCCCCGCTGCATGAGGAGGAGCAGGAAAGGGCAGAGTTAGAGGACAGAGGTGCCCAGACCAGTGGGAGACCCTGAGCAAGGAGCCGAGGGGGCCCTTGCGCACCCCCTCCCAGGAAGTCCACTCTGACTTCACAAAGCCCCCACTCTCTTTTTGGGAGCAGCAGAGGGACAGCTCCTGGCCTTCCCCTGCTGAATGGAGAGCTTCGGCCCCCGCTAGCCCTGCCCCACTCTCACACCTGGTGGGAAGCTGGGACGCTCCTGGGATCAAGCCTCAGTGACAGCTGACTGTGACCTGTCAGTGCCATCCACTCCTCTCTTAACACCTGTCCCGAGCCCTAAGAGCAGCATCTGGAACCCAGCAGTTTTCTTCTTGGGGGTGGATGCAATGCTCACCCATTTCAAAGGTACCCACTGCTTCTACCTGCCGGGTCTCCCCCTGTCTTCCCCTCTCTCACTGCCCACTCCCACTTCAAACCACTCACCAGTTTGCTGGCCTTCGCAGCTGCATCAGTTCCCTCTGCAAAAAGGAAAGTGTGCCTGTGTGGCTGGTGGGGCGATACAAGGCTGGAGCACACAGGGATGGGAGCGCCTGGGGACCCCAAGCTGGAGGGGCGGCCATGCCGAGGTTATTACCTCTTTTGAGGACCTTTGATGCGGAAGAGTCAGGGGTCTCTGGAGAAGTAGTGTCTGCTCCATCTTCAAATACTTGTATCTGAGGACACAGGACAGACTCAGCCAAATTGAGGAGGGCTGTGATCTAGGTGCCCCGCCAGTCCCCAGACACGCCTGGAGGCCAGGGGGGGCTTACAGAAGGATCAAACCCCCAAACCCCTGGCCTCCCCCACCTTTCTTTGTCCCCGCCACCGCCAGGTAACAGAACATCAAACACATCGCCTGCACACTCAACGAACGCACACACATACACGGGCTCAGGCATGCACAGGCACAGACCTCCACACTTCATGGGTGCATGCACACACGGGCACAGACCCTCACAGTCACCGGTGAACGCGCGTGCACGCACACTCATATGCAGCGACAGGTGGAGGCACGCGCGCGCATGTACAGGCTCAGGCATGCACACGCAAGGGTGCAGACCGCCACACTTCGTGGGTGCAAGCACACACGGGCATAGACCCTTACAGTCACCGGTGTATGCGCTCGTGCACACATACACAAGCAGGCATGGGTGAAGGCACGCACATACACGGGCGCAGACCTCCCCACTTCGTGGGTGCGCACACACATATGCGCATAGACCCTCACAGTCACGGGCGCGCGCATGGTTGAAGGCACGCACATACACGGGTACGCATGCACACAGGTGAAGGCACGCACACACAGAGGCACTGACTGGTGCAGGCACGCGTGTGCGCACGGGTGAAGGCACGCACACACATGGGCGCGCGCACTCAGGCACCGACAGGCGCATGTGCATGCACACACATGGGATCAAGCCTGCACACTCATGGGCACAGACCTTCACACTGACGGCTGCACACACACACACGCCTAGATTCTCACACTCAACAGGCGCACTCCCAGGTGTAGACCTTCACACTAACGGGTACACACAAACATACAAGCGCACAGGCGCAGGCTGTCACACACTGTGGGTACCTGGGACTGGCGCACAAAGATGCCGTGGCCTTCCTCACACGTGAAGTATTTCCTGCCCTGCACAGTGCCATCGTTCTTGCCTTTGGCTTCATCCAGGATCACGCCCACCCATTTCCCAGTGGCGAAGAGTGTGGCGCCCACATAGGCCACGGTGCCACGGTGGCCTTTCCCGATCACCTCCACACGCGAGCCCACCCGCAGGGGCCGGCCGCTGGCCTCTGCGCTCATCCTGCTGCCACTGGGCGTCTGTAAGGAAGGCAGGGACAGTGGGACAGTCAGAGATCCCCGACACGGGGGCGTCCACAGGAAGGCAGGTGTCAGTGGGGACAGTCAGAGATCCCCCTGACATGGGGGTGTCCACAGGAAGGCAGGG